CCCCAAAACCCCAAAACCCCAAAACCCCTTCCATCTCCAATTTTTGAAAATTTAAATTAAACATGAGAACAAGAATACCCCATCAAAAACTTACCAACAGCGTCTCCAGACCCCTCTCTCCAGTCTTTCCAGAGGCTCTTTCACCTCCAAATCACCACCAAGCCCCCTCTTCCCTTCAAAATCCCTCAAAATCTCCTTCTAACAGCTCTAAACCCACTATGCCAAAGCCAAGCTCTAGGAGGAGAACTATCCAAAAGACCCAAAGAAGCCAGAAGCCCAAGCGAAGCCGCAGGAAGAAATCAGGAATAAAGCAGAAGAAACAACCTAAAAGACAGATTAAGGGTTTAGAGATACAGCTGAAGGTCCCTTCCTGGCTGGGACTGGAGATAAGAAAGTGTGACAAACGGAAGGAGGGGAAGGTATACACCATGGTATTGGCAAAGAAAAAAGGTCCAAAAATAGATACTGAAACTCATTCTCTGAAGTGTCAGATGAAAGAATCTACTAAGAGTATTGAGGTATCCTTGAGAAAAATCGATGAAATCAGAAGAAAACCTCTTCAAAATATCACCAATAATGAGTATCCAGTGCTAAAAGATACCAGACAAAAGGAGAAATTTAACAAGCATGCCAATTTTGATAAATCTGCAAAAGCTTTAAAATGTAAAACTGACAATAAAGAACAAGAGCTTGTAGATTTTATGAATATTTTGCTTGAAGAACCAAGCCTGTTTAAAGGAAGAGATAAATCAAAGCATAAGCCAATCAAGATAGAAGATAGCATCCTCCTTGAAGGCCAAGTTCTCTACTCCACAAAATGGACTCATCCACTCAAGGACCTCCCTATGTTCACTTCCTTAGTGACTGAGAAGAGTCTTAAGAAGAATATGAAGAAAAGAGAGCTGAAGGAATTGGTGAAGAGGTATGTAGAGGGAGTGGATGGATAAGGGAGGAATTGAATTGAAAGTTGTATGATGTGGATTTAGGTGGTTCAGTTTTGAAGAGGTTTGGAGGGGTTTTGGGGTTTTGGGGTTTTGGGGTTTTGGGG